AAATTACTCCACTAGTTTGTTATAATTATTAACACAAAGACAATAAAGAGTATTTGTATTAAACTATTTATAGTACAATAGACCCCCATAGGAAAAAAGAAAATGTATTTTTTTAAATATGGACAGGTGCTACCTATGCATCTAAAGCGCTGTTCCAAATAAGGAAGCAGTACTAGATACGTACAAGGTATGTCGCATTGTCGCACGCTGGGGCCCGTCTACACACGGTAATGCTCACAACTCAATTTTCAAAATGTGGGTATTTAAATTTATATATACATATATAAATATACATGTTTATACATATAAAAATACTGAGTCGCTAACTCCTGTCAGTCGTGAAGTAAACACTCCAGCACATCAAGCTTACACATTGACGAATCTTGTTCCGTTGCAATGGAGGCGATTTTCGAACAAATATGTGTACTTTTATGTGCCGTTGTCCGTATATCAGCCGTATATAGAAGTTTGCTCTTTATGCTAAATAATAATTGTTCCATAACGTTCGTTTATAAGTTTACTGGTATCTGATATAATATATCATATATAATATTATCTGCTAATAATTTGTAGTCATCCAGTATGTAACCAGGAATAGAGACAAAATGTCATTTAATTTGTTTGAAAACTTTTCTGCCATATCATTACTGTGACAACTGCGCTCCGATTGGATAGCCCGAGTTCGAAACAATTGACGGGTGTCGTCAACTGTTTCACTTCAAATCGACCATTTAACTTGAGCTTTGTTCTAATGGACGAAAATTGCAAAATTACATATTTAATATTTAATTACCGATTCCGTTTGTTTTGTAATTAGACGTTTTGCTGTTTTTCCCCACACTGCCGAATGGAACAGCATGCCATTGTTAGAGATATTATCTGTATTACAACAAATACAGAATATTTTTGGAATATACTGAGACGTACACACAGGTCAGTTGTTGGCGCTATACTATTTTAGTTTTCTAATTTGTAATTTCAATACAAACGAGAGTCGATATTTATAAGTGATGTATCACACTGATGAGTGACCAGAAATGTATGGCCTTTATTTCGTCTCTATTTCTGGTTACATAATCGATGTTTGTAGTAGTGCGAGTTTTTTGTTGTGAATTTTTTAAATTATATTTTTTTCTAAATGTCTATTTTTGAATCATACTTGAATCGACTTAATTTAAAATCGCATTGAAATGGGATCCTAATGCAAGTATTTATTGTGTGGATACTTATTGCCTCTTTTTCAACTGAATAAGATTGTTTCCATCGAAATACCTAATAAGTATGGAATTATATCAACTTCCGTATCATTTTACGCGTATAATGGTGTCCGCCCACGATTTTGAGCAGAAATGTGCTAAAATCGCTTTTGGTAAAAACCTGGTTAAAACCCGGCCGGATTGGTTGGGTTTTAGCCCACTGTCCATCTCTTTGAACTGCCTCCGTGGCGGAACGGTGACCATGTCAGACTGCCACGCATAGGTCCCAGGTTCGATTCCTGGGCCGGGAGAAATATTTGTATGGCCTACAATTATTTCTCGCGTGAGTTTGGGTGTAATTTGTAGTTGTCTATGTGTGAGTCCATGGCACCCGTGACACAGAGTTTCCCTAGTGCGGGGCTATATTGAGTGTGTGCATTATTTATTTGTATACAATATATTTTCTTCACATTTGAATTAGTGAGCTTATTTTCCTACAAACCACTTAACAACTTAGAAGAATCCCATTATCTTTGAAGTTAGCAAAGCAGTGTTTATAGCGGTAACAATCTTTGTGGTATCGTTCAGCAGTTAAGTAACTTTGTGTAGTATTAAGTCGTAAATGGGCTGAGTTTAAACATAAAACTGATCAAACAGTAAACTCAAGAACAAGAAAGTAACAACTACTTACAGAAGTTAAGTACTTTAGTTTTTTTCGGAGCAAATAAATGCGAAAAAAAATGCTTCAGTATTTTGTGTAAAAGTGAAAAGACGAATACGTTGTGCGCCTGATGATAAGCGACACGCCTGTTCGTAGAAGTTGCAGTGCCACTCAGAGCTTTAAATCGCAAAGATCTAAGGCCTTATTCAGAGTGGCAGCGGGCGCTGGTGCATGTAAATCAAACATGCCTAGACGAATCTAATTGGAATTAATGTTTAAAGCGTTTGTAAAAAAACGAACACTGCATTGCGATTTTAACCCAGTGAGAGAATAGTTAATAAATAAATAATAATAATAAATATTGAACAATATCACATACGTTATTCTGATCCCAAAATAAACAGCTGGAGCAACTTGTGTTATGGAAATCGGAAACAACGACGGTACCACAAATACCCAGACCCGAGACAACATAGAAAAGTTTTCTACATTAACCCGGCCAGGAATCAAACCCGGGACCTCAGAGATGGCGACACTATGAAAACCACTATGCAAGCCACTCGACCATGGAAGCCGTCAGTTGTTAGTTATAGTTGCTTATTAATTAAGATGCATGTACCTATGAATTAAATTTCTAAGTTACATGCATTTGTGAATATTTAGTTGGAGCAGCTCTCGCTAACTTTGAAGGAAAATGTCGAAGAATGACAATAAAAGATGTGTGAACTTCCTAAACAGCATTAAGCTCTATCCTTGTAGAAATCCTATGCCCAAAAGTGGAACTATGATGATCATTTGTAAAATGCTAAATATTGATCGAGTATTACGAGGGAGCATGCCAAAAAAGTTTTGACGTTGGCTCCGCCCAAATTTGTGAAACAAATATATGCCTGAAGTTCGCGTGACATGCGACAGAAGATGTTGAATTTTGCGTATTAAAAGTACCAAATTCGTTTTAGCGGAATAACTCTAAAACTAAAGGGATTAAAAAAAAATCCATACTGATAGTTCTCGATCTTGCATAAATATAATTAATTATCAAATTTTTGTCCTAATAACCTGTAGCATTTCGAGGATGAATGGAAAAAATGTGAAAATTAGAGGTCTATCGAGGAAACTTAATTGTTTTATGTTTCTGATTAGTGTCTATACTTGATTATATCGTGTAGTTACTCACACAATATTTTATTTTTAACTTTAAAGTGGATATACCCCTCTAAAATCAAATAGAAGATTAGGAATTTTTCCTCTGCTCCCTCTTAAAAAAAAAAATAATTTATACTAAACATTATTAGCGTATCTCAACCAGATAAAGGATGTTCTTAAAAAAAAAACGCGTCTAAAATACCAAGTATAAACACGCGTGTATGTAAAGAAGGATGCGAGTGGAATATGTAGTCTCTCCCTAACGTAATGTGAAATAAGGTATAATGTTTTTATTTTTGTCTGTCTACGTCTTGGACGATTGAAATCAACTGTTCATGTCCGCCATTTTAGGGTGCAATCCGCCCGAGATTGAACATCCGATTAAAAGTCAATAAAAATAGATAACATAAAGACTCGTCAGAATGTTAACGCAGATAAAATCGCTCGTTTCATGGCCCAACAAAACATCCGGATGCCATAACATGATGTTATGACAAGCCGGGAAGTTTTAAATTAATAATAAATTTGTCTTGTGCACACGCCTTTATTTTCCTGGTAGAATAATTGAACAAATAATTTAACAGTAAAGAACGTTTCAAGTTTGGAAGTATGGCTTTTAATGTAAGATACATCAATTTCAAAGCTATTATGATGGCAATAAGAAACTTAGACAAAATGTTTGCTTTGTAAAAATACCGAGGACAGTCGAGAACAGAAATATATTGTCTAAACCAGAGCTTCCCAAACTTTTTTGTCTCGTAGACCCTTGCCTTTGTTTGTCGTGTTGTAGTTTGGCCATATAGCGAGAAACTTTAAAAAAAAACATGTTGAATTTAGCACATTTATCTAACCGAATAGATCCTGTGTGTTATAAAATCTTTAATTCAAAGGTAATTTATATATATTTATATTATAAGAAAGAAATTATATACCCTATGTAATGTAGATTATTCCATTTATGGAAACCCAATATTTTTCTTACGACATACGTAAGTGGGTTCCACTCTCGTGGACCCCCATGAACGTCTCATACACTTCCACTTTTTTTTCACTGGTGGTCGATATAGATAGACCATGAGAACCATCGATCGAAAGAAATATGAATATTTACTTATCATAAGAAAAATATTTTTAATTTTACATCGATCGAAAAGTGAATAAACAATATGCTGAAATTCTAAGAATGTCACTAACCTGTGTATCCCTGTGTATGCTATAGGTTGACCAGCAACAGGGCTCCACCTGGTTGGAGTCCAGCCCCCAGAACTCCAGCTCCTCTTCGAACAACGGCCCGCATACATTTGTCGGGTAGTGTAGTTTTCCTGTCCTGGTAACAAAATGACGAGATTTAAATCACAGTCTGAATAAATGACGCTTGAAAGATATCAGCTATTTATCTTTTGTTCTCTTATCTCTTATTTTCAGTGTAATTTAAAGTTGTAATAGCAAGATATGATTTGTAATTTTGTTTTACGAGACATTGCAAAATATGGTTGAAAAGTTAATGCAGTAAGCAGCAGAGCTCGATTAAATGAAATAACACATTTTGTACGTAGTATAATAAGTATTTTTGAAAACAATCAATTAGTTTGTTATAATTATTAATATAAAGAGCGAACACTTAGAAAAATTTCCTTCGATTCGGCCGGATTCGAACCGACGTCTTCTAGCAAACCGTACCAGAAGATGTCGGTTCGAATCTCCGAAGGTGTCGGTTTTTCTAATTCCAGAACGATTAAGCTCAACCGATTGATTGTTTTCATTTCATTTTCATCAAGATTTATTAAATGTCACAAAATCATAAAAAAAATATTACAATACCAAAGAAAATAGAAAGCTTTTTCATGTTTTTATTTTTATAATATCAAGTTACGGGACGAATGCGTCGTGCGCCTGATAAGTGTAAGCTGCACGCGTGTCCAGAGCCAGAGCCACTCAGAGCAAAGATCTGAAGGACACGGACAAGTCCCATGTGCCTGTTATTTCACCAGCACCTTTACACTTCGAAACCGGATCGCAGTAATGCTCACATGACTGCTTGACGACAGAAATAGGTAAGATGGCAGTACTACTCTGGACGAGCTCTGTCACAAGGAGCTCTACTACTGCTTGATAATTGAGGCATATATATTAATTTAGAAATATACACCAAAAGAGTTATAGAGACTGCAAGAAACTTATATCAAAATGGCTACAGTCCAAATCGTATGAGGAAATCGAAGATCACTTGCTTTAAAAACACTACTCTCCTAATCTATGGCAACAGGTTTAAACACACACACGCTCGCACGAAAACGTACACATACACACATTCACATGCACGCACACACACACACACGCACACGCACACGCACACGCACACGCACACGCACACGCACACGCACACGCACACGCACACGCGCACGCGCACGCACACGCACACGCACACGCACACGCACACGCACACGCATACGCACACGCACAGACACACATATACACACACACACACACACACACACACACACACACACACGCGCACGCACACACACACACACACACACACACACACAATGTTAAAAGTACAACACAGCTACGGAAGAGCGGTACCTCCTGCCACAGGCTTGGTAAGCTTAATAGGAGGTACTGTAGTCTAGGCTCTACTCTATGAGTAGAAGTACTGGCTGAATGAATATATATTAGAATGTACTTAAAAAAATTGGATAGAAAAAAAGAAGAACAACTTGGCATTTCTAGAAGAAGCCTCCAAAAATCGACATGCAAAATACGTAATAAATATTTATTTATGAAGATATTCCCAGTTTATATTTAAAAGGATCTCTCGCTACACTACCTGAGCTACATCCTATGCTATAGTACCATCCACTGTTAATGTAAAATTAATTGTATTACTGAATAAATATTTTATTTATTATTTATTATTACTTACATAAATAACATTTTCACTTCATTTTTAACAAACCCCTGACTATTCTATAAAACGCCTGATAGTTTTTACCGACCATGCAAGGTTCTTATAGTTCCCAAGTTTCATCGTATTAAAATAAAGATCACGTATCGTGTCCAATTATACGAATGTAAGTATGCATTTGACCTCCTTCTCACCTGATGGAAAGTGACGATAAGGTCGACGATGGAGCATACACACCTAGATAATGCCTATTCACTCTCGCCATGAAAAGACTCGAGAGAATAACATTCAGCGAACAAGTCTGCAGGCAGGGAATTCCATTCCATAGCCGTTAGCCATATGAATGTGGAAGCGCAAAGCTTCGTGCGAATCTTCGGAATATCCACAACATAGGGGTGGCATCCAAGCCTACGACTAGTCTCCTGATGACGGAATTAAATCATGTAATTCCATCGCACATTCTTCGTGATATATCCTTTAAAATACCGATAAGCAGGCAACTTTACGGCGGTGTTCAAGGCTCTGCAGCTTCGCCTCTACTAATTCTGAGTCACCTATAAGCCTCTTGTCACGCTTGTCAATTGAATCCAAGGTTAGGTTGTCTCCTGGCCAGAAGACAACTTTTCAGAGGAGAGGACTAAAAATTCACAACCGAAATTTTTCAGTTACAAAGTTTCACATATAGACAATTTTTTTCACGTAGATACATCGTATTATTTTGATGATATGAAAGTACTACTTTTGGTATATCATCACATGTGGCATTAGATACCGTGGCTAGGAACTAATTCTATTTGCTTTTGGTGAAATTGAAAATGTCTATATACGATATACGTTTTTCAAATGGCTTTAGTACCGTTTGTAAAAACATAAATTCTGAAATAAAGTCAATGTCCCTGCCGCGAAATAGAACCGATTCTCATATAGAACAGAACAGAATAGAACTCTTAAATGACTGGTAGACTGAGTAGTACCTAAGTCTTAGCGGGATCCTACGAACCGGCATTGGTAGTTAGTGGGTACGCCTCTGAGTATCCATATCGGACGAGCTTTTATAGCCGGGTGGGCCCATGCAGAAGAGTAACACTTAACCCTGCCACGTCATCACCCGTGGCAGGTATTAAAAATAAATAAAGCTTAAACCTGGTCTGTTAACAGTTGTTACTTATTGTGCTGTTATAGATAAAGGATTTTGGCCTAGTCTTAGCTAAAGTAAAAGAATGCCTCGATCCAGATAAATTTATTAGAAGTAGAAAATGAAAAGAAGAAAAGGCTGTAACAAAAATGATACAATGATATAAAAAGGTACAAACAATATAAAACACTCCCTACTACTACTAAACAGTCTAAGGGTCGTATTCTAGAACTCTATTCAATGCTCAAGCCATTGCACTAGCAACACAAGCACTGGAAATACGACTCTAATAGCAGAGACTTGAGTATGATTTCGAGTGCTTTAAACCATACTCAAGTCCTGACTTGAGCATTGAGTAGAGTTCTGGAATACGACCCTTATCACCCCAAGAGGCTTTAAAAACTGTTAAATTACTCGAAGTTGGGTTTGACATCAGGGTTGACATCAGTTCAGTTTTAGAATAATGAAATTTTTTGATGATATTTCAGCTATGCATCGATGAGGTAAGTTCCGATAAGTCGAATACGTTAACTAATTTTGACTGTTTTAACCGACTTCAAAAAAGGAGGAAGTTCTCAATTCGACTGTGAAGTAAATCATCCACCTTTAAGGGTGGCTGTTCACGCATGAAGATTCATTGTTATGAATAGCGCCTAAGTTGTACTTAAGGAGCGATTATTTTAATGGTTGATTTTGCTATTTCTCCAATTCAAGGCGTTATTCTCTCCATATACTTTGAGTAGTGAGAACCGATTTTTATTATTTCCTGTGTCAAGTCCTGTATAGTGGCGAACTAGGGGATATTTCAATAAAACTTAGCAAATAGACGTAATTCCACGTACTTTTGAGGTCGGTTTTTTTAGTACTCTGTGCTGAGATTATTAAAAGAGAATTTTGTTCTCTGTTTTTTGCTATTTATAATGGTTATTTGACCATTTATCACTTAGCCTCATTTTAATTAGTAGACGGCGGTATTATTATGTTCTTCTATATTTTCTTCAGCCTGTTGGTTGGTTTGAACTACACTTTTTGAGTGGCGCTGTCCACGCTACGCACAATAAATAAAACTTGACATAACAAAACGACAAAAAAAATCTGGTTAAAAAAGCAACGTGTAAAGGCGCTTCAACGCATAACGACGATTCATTTCATAACGTGTCTTCTTCTTTACACGAAATTAATGCACACTGTGTGCGTTGATTATATCGCACTGTTAATACCATAGTGTCTTAACTCAAAAAGTGGACTTTCACAGAATCGTTGAAAAACGAATTACTCAGTTCCCGCAAAAAATCATAAAAATTTGTGTATGTTATAGCTTATTATAGACACTTAACAATTTCTCAAATATATTTAAAAATGAAATGGAAAAAATAATTTAATATTTTTTAATAAGGATTATTTTGGCCAGAACTAGCTCACATAAAGTGTGTCTCATTTTGAGTTAAGTGGATATCTTCTGATTATTTCTTACAATATTCGACGGTTTTCTTGACGTGTAGAGAATGAAATATTACGTTCAGTAACATTGACTTACAAATAAATGGACGACGGATCTAATACAAAAACCACGAAAAAAATGTCCCAAGTCAACCCATTTAAACGCAGTGACATGTAAAGGAATATGAAAAAGCTAAAACGTTGAATTTAAATTATAATCTCATCGCAGTACTGTCTAATTTTGCTTGCTTCGCTGTCAGTCGAACAAACGAAGACTAAAGCGTGAATGACGCTCTGTATACGATTTTAACGCCCTATAAGTTCGGACACTTTTTAGCGCGGACCCGACGTCCATATAATTGTAAGTCAATGTTCAGTAATGATAATAATATTAAATTTTACATATTTTGAGTTACAACACTATTGTAATAGCAGAGCGATATAGGAAACTCCTCGTGGCTACGCAATCTTTTGTATGTCCTCCGCTGACAAAATCTACGCGAACTTTCGACCTGCGCGAACAAAAATGCGTTTGCTCAGACCTGTAAGAATAGTAACCTCGACTTACAAATACTATGCCAGTTATTTATATTGTAACTGACGTTAACTTTTATGTACAACAACATTGGAATATTTTCCACATGAATTATGGTTCGGAATATAAATCATTTCTTTACAACGTCCAGTGTTAAATGATCTGTGACATTCGTATATTTCTTTAATACATGTGACCTTATTAATGTAATGGCTCGTTCGTTCCTGTGGTAGCTTGAGTGCTTCGTATAAAGGTTAAAGAAAAGTTGACAGTGCTGGAAATTTTTATCTGGCCAAGGGGACTCAAATGTTATTGTACTTTTGTACCTTAAGGTATTTTCTTAAGGTCGATTTTTTCTCATCGTCGTTTAGATCTTACACCATTTCCTCTACTATGAGTATTTTGTTATAGAAAATTGTGCAGCACGCATTGCTGTCACAAAAACAAATAACATTTTGTAGATAAATATTACACGTAGTCGCTAGCAACTACTGTCATATAAAAGTCATGGTAGAAGAGATAAAGGGCATTATATCAAAAGGTGTACCCCAAAGCTCACTACTGAAGCCGGCCTGTCATAACTTTGCACATCATGCCATTTATTAAGTAACGCCCTGGCGTCCTCCTGCCCAGTTGTAATTACCTGAATGTGGTCTCTATTCCTGTATCGTTTGCTACATCGTCGTGTTCATGAAGACGATTTTTCTTGCCCGCCACCGGTCGGTAAATTGGTAATATACACAAG